AAACACTTTTTTTTTCACTGACTTTTCTCGTATTGAAAATAATTACCTTCAAATACATTATTAGTTGTGATATTATTTTGTGTTACTTTCTGTTGCACGATGGGTACTATCGTAGGATCGAACTGAGAAATACTTGATGATGATTGATGAAGAAGTAATTTATTCAATTGTGTTAGTGATGAACGAACTTTATTGATAATTTGTAATGGTGATTGACTTTTATATGCATCGAGAATACGTTTCGATAGATGACCTGATTTGAATTCTTCTGAAATGCATATATATATATATATGATTAAGTAAGTTGTATAAGAAGAATAAAAATTATTACCAATGAGTTTCGGAGTAATTAGTTGTGTTTGAATTTTATAAATTTGAGAAAAACTAAGTCTATAAGTTTGAATACCTTCGATTATTGTTTTATTTAAGTTATCACTTGCAATAAAATCAATGATTTCTTTTGATTTTGTAGCAAGCTCATCAGGTTTATCTAGTATATCAGATGTTATTTCACCGTACTTAATTGATTTGTAAATATTTTCTGTTATTATATTTATTTTGAGTAGATCAAGTATAAATGATGGAATAGTTTCTACTTCTTTAGTAGATATATCATCAATAGAATGTAGACTCAATTGATGAACAAGATTCAGAGTATTTTCAATACGATTATGTTTTAATATTGAGTTTGATACTATTTCGACTGTTTCAATATGAGTTTGTATACTTGATTTAAGTCGTTCATGCATAGCTGTCAATTGATCAGTAAGAGAAGAATATAATTGATTTTGTATATCAGTTGATCCTGCTATAATGTTGATAAATTTATTGGATGGAAACAATGAATATGGTAATATTGGAACAGATGGTGATATTGATTTTAAATTGGACTTCGTCATGATGGTTGATTTATATTGTGTTGAAAGAATAGAAGTTGAAACTGAATGAAGTAAACTACTAAATTGTTCATCATTGAGAATAAATTGAGAGGATGATGTTGGTAAAGATGTAGTGTATTCAAAATCATTAGTCAATATGTTTATATTCCATAGTGTAGCTAGTTGTTCTGGTTTGAATCGAAATTCTATCATCTATGAAAATGAATATAATTCAACAAAAGACTATTTTAAATGTTTTTCAATTTACATTGATATGTTCTGTTGTACAAGTTGTCAATTCATCGAGTTTGATATTAGATGATTTTACAAGAGAAAAAATTTGTTCGACAGTTAAATAAACATATTGTTGAATATGAAATGATTTATCAATCGATTGAGTAAGATCAACAGACTTTTGTATCGTATTTGCTTGACTATTTTGATTGATCAAACTACAGAGTTGTTTCTGATCGAATACTTTTGATTTTTCTTCGTTGCGAATTGATACTATTTGTTTTACTGATATTTTATTTTCCATAGCAAGATGAATCAGTTGATTGTGTGTTAGTTGTAAAGGTTTATTGGAAGTGGATAATGAATGAAAATGTTCCAAAGTCATGTCTAATAACTGATAAGTAGAATCAATGATAGAATTTGAATTGATCACTTACTTTGAATTAAAGCTAACTGCCTGATTTGTTGATAATCCAATGAAAATAATAATGATTGATCATTTTCATTTGATCTTTGTTGCAACGTATAGATACCTATGAGTTGGGCAACAGAAAGTCCAACAATTCTTTGATTGTTAACAATACGATGATGAGCAAAGAAATAAGCCAGCTGTGATGAATTCAAGCGAAATTGTTGAGCTTGTATGCTTTGTTGTTTTAAATTTTGTTCAATATCTAATAGTTTTCGAATATTAAAATTATTTTGATTGATCAAATGTGCGATTTGTGAAGATGTAAGAGTAAACTTGATTTTAGAACTATCGAGTAATGATGAATTTTGTAAAACAGTTTCATTATTAAGAATTCTATCTATATCAATCATTTGTTGATTACATAATTGAATTAATTGATCAAGTTGAAGAACAAGCCATGATTGTTGTTGTTCTAATAATAACGTTGATGACATCCAATTGACCAAGTTTATTTGATTGATTAAAAATCGGATTTGATTTTCATTTAAATGAAGATTATCTTGTGATATTTCACTATACTCAACTGAAAAAAGACAAATAGATTCAACATCCTTCTTATGATTTTAAATCAATGAATAGTTCGAAGGATGCTCTATGATCAAATAACATGACATTCTGGTACAATTCACATGAAATCATATAAGGAATATTTGCAAACTTGAAAAAAAAATTTTCTGAGCGAAAACATATAAAATGCAAGACAATAAATAAATAATATTAGCTAAGATATTAATTCAAAATAAGTTATTTACTATCTGTGATTGAGATATTTTCTTCGATGGCAATTTGAACTAACTGTTCTTCTGTGAGTTCAAATTTATCTGGTATTACAGTTGTTTCCAATAACTTTTGTAAATAATCTTGAAATTTTTCTGTAGAAAGATTTTGTTTCAAATATATTCTATTAAACGTAAAAGAAGTTCAATTATTTGTTCCTATCATACATTTCTAAAAAGCGAAACTGACTATATCAATCTAATAAAAGAGAGAATCATAAATAAGAGAAATTATATGCATTAATGAGTAACAATCTCGTATGATATTTAACGAACTTAAACAAATGTTTTTGCGAGAATTTGCTTTAGAACAAACAATAGCTGATCTGCAATAGATGTGTATTTTATGTTGTCTTCATAAAAACTTTTATGAGACAAGTATAGTTTGATGCAAACAAGTTAGTATCTGTTTCACAGCAGTATTTTAGTAGCCTAGATCACAAAAATTCCGATCGAAATGACTAAATACTACGATATAGGTCAAAAACCCAGTCGTCGTATATGATGAAGGTAAATGACGATTGTACACTACTGTAGAATACGATCTTATATCTTCATAAGTTAGTTGTCAGTTGAGTTGCATTATGAATTTAGCTACAAATTCAATGGTAAGTATTTATTTGAAAAGAAAACAAATTTTATTTTTTTAATAAGATTAATTTGTACAACTGAAGAGAGACAGAAAAAGTGATCCTCCTTGTGAGTAAGAGAAAATTTATGTGAACACAATCGTTTACAACAGCCGACGAAAATTGTGATCTTCGTCCTAGAAACTTGATGAATTGTTTTTTTGTATTTTCCAATTAGCTAACATTTCTACATTGTGTGAAATAGTACTAGAGACTCATTTGTAGCCATTAGCTACTGAGAAGACGTTGTAAAAATAACCGAATAATAATTTTAATTCAACGTATACTTATGCATCGATAGGTCAGACATGACAAATGTTGCAAAGACATATTATTACAGTATAATTCAAGTTCTTATCAACTATTCAGGAAACAGCAACATTTTAATAAGTATTAAATGGTATTTCATCAAACATTAGATTACTACAGATATATATGCGCTACGGATTTCTGTCATGATTGATTGCCAGAGTAGCTAATAAAAGATAAAAAAGTGAGTGTAAGAATATCTATCGAAAGAAAACTTACTGAGAAAGATAATTACTAGATAAGTTGTTGAGCTATATGTCTTGAATCATTTGTAGCATGAAACATAAAACTTAGGCTAGTATGCTTTGAAGAAAGATACGTCAAGCGGTTGTAGCACATGTGTTGTGGAGATTATGCTTCATACGAAAAAACTAACTCTTCGACTCATCCCGAAAATATTGCTCGAGATATATGCGATAACATAAGCATTATATAAATATAGTGTTTTTATCTTGTATTGCATGGAGATGAGTTCATCAAAAATAAATAATCCATCTTAATCGATTGTTGACATGATCAGAAGCAATTTTCAAGCCGATTATGTAAAATGTGATTTTCAAAAACCTACGATCACCAGTTACTGCAAAGTTAATTAAGCCATGCAAAACATCACTCTTGTTTCACTTTTATTATTTTATTTTTGACTAGTAATTTAAGTAAACTATGACCTAAAATGAATGGAGTGTGCGCTTTTCTTGCGAACTAAAAGTAACTGACGCTTGCTAGAACCATAAATATGGCAAGTCAAAAACAAATGTATCTCGAAAAAATTTTCAAACACTTTTTTTTAGAGTTTTCAAAAAAGATTACATTTTTCTTTCTTTTCCTTCACTCAAAGACAGACACCGTTTTCAAGCTAGAAAAAACATCAAAAGTTCCTGTGGTCTCATGTAATTAACACCTGTTTCGTTGCATTCTCTGCATAATTAGGATATTGTAGCATAGACTTACCAGTTATCATTTATAGCAAAACAACGAGTGCCATCCGAACTTTTTCTTTATACATGAAGTACTTAGTAATATCGATATTAATTGTCAATTTTTCAGTGAATATCACCAAGTGGAAACAATGTTAATGCTATTTGTATTGATCGAATGATTTCTGATTCTTTTTAATCTGAACGGTTGATTATAAGGGAATACGTAAGATAAAACTCTTGCTTCAACCGAAAAAATAACAACATTTCAGTTGACTATCAATGCTTTTAAGTAAAAAAAATATAGGTTTGATGTTTGATAATGAAATAAAGTTTACAATTGGCAAGAAGAAGGATGGGATTAGAGCTGAACGGATATTATTGTTGGGAAAAAATAAATTATTCATTATTAGAATCTTTTCTATACTGAACAAATAGTGACAGTCAACAAGAGGACAATTAGCCTCTATAACGTGTGCACGCATTTACGACATCTATTGATTAGTGTATTCTTTCAATCGCAGCTTACGATTTCAACGATTAGCAGAACGAAATATATTTATTTGACATGCGTACGACAAAATTTTGCTTATAGCTGATTATAATTTCCTTGGAAGATCTGTTATTTATTAGCTAGTATCTTGATAAAACTTTAGCCTTTTGTTAAAAAAATGTTCTGAACATATATTATCTAGTAATATTTTCAGCGCTTACTATTAACGTCATTAGTAAGAATTATATCAAGTAGAAAAAAGATAATTGAAATTTAGAATCATTTATCAACATCAGAGAAAATAAAGTATTGGTAAATGGATTACGTACTGTTCAATTTGAGTATTTGTCAGCTTCAGTGGTTCTTGATTGTGTCCGATAACAAGTACTACCAGATGAGCCACCGTAAGACCATCATGCGACATAATTGCATTGGACATTATAGCTTCAAAATAATGTTCTCTATCAATATCTGTTGTACCACTGAATGACATTGTTGATTCGACTGCTTCATCAATTGTTGGTAAAATTTGTTGATACTTATCTGTTGTGAACATTTTGAAAGAACGTGATGGAATTGTTGTGGTAGCTACTGATTCAATGAGTGAAGTATCAATCTTCTTATCAACTTCTTCCGTAATCTGTTTTAATGAATCTAATTCAGTGGTCAAAGATTGATCAGAACGTTCGGAAAAAACCAATGATTTCTTTTCGTTAGTTTTTTTCTTTAACATTGCTGCAATTAATGCTGGTTCATCATTTGTTGCTATGAGCAATGTTTCTAATGTGTATGCAAAACGAACAGCTTGTTTTCGTAGACCCGTTGTACCAGTTGCGTTCAAACGATCTTTAAGCATATTAACGGCAAGTGGAATATATTTTTTTGGATCATGTGAACGTAATTTGGCTAATTTTAATACATCATCTAATAGACGAACCTATAGTAGAGAAGAACAAAATATCAACAATATTTCTACTATGCAAATATTAAAACGTACTCCATGTCGTCCAGCATATTTGAAGAATTCGGTTAATCGATCATTTACTGTCTTTCTACTTTGTAATTTTCGATCACCAATATTATTTTCACGATCAAATGTTTGTACAGCTTCAATTGCATTTTCTATCAATTGTGCTACATCTTCGGATAAACCTTCATACAGATCTCGCGTTGTTGATATGCCCAAATTGCCTTCAATAGTACCATATTTTCTGATCATGTTGTCCAAGAGATCGCGCACTTCTGGTGGTAAATTATCTGTTTTGATGGAATCAGTAGTTTCATCATAGCGATATGACGCTTCTTGTAGATTACATTCATCGGCAGATAGTTTTTGTATATTCGATCGTTGATGATATTGTGCTAAAATCCAAGGTGATGGAGTTAATACACGATTCTGTTGATGTATCACCAAATCATTTATATTCAGAGGTATATAAGGTCCTTTCATTGACTTGATATTCTACTCCAACAAAAAAAAAAGATATTTCATCAGAATAACACTCACAAGGAGACATTTTCAACTGATCAATTGCTATTACAATGAAAGCTCATGACTTGTAAGCCGTCCACTATGCTCATTCCGAATATAAAAATCTTCTTAGGTCTTTAATATACTCTAGTAACTTTCAATGAGAAAATGATTGATCAGTTGGAAACATTCTCTTGTTAGACAAAGAACAGAATTTTACATGTCTTTCTATATCAAGTAAAACTAGATCCTTGAGTGCTTCAATATCATCATTTATATGACTATGTTCACCAAATTGAAATCGTTTAAAAGCTTTATGAGAAAAAAATTTAGGTGCTTGATTCAAATCGATTACATGCAAAAGATATTTGCTGTTAGATATTGTAGGTGATAATTTCGATTTCATTAAATGTTGATTCGTTTCAATAATCTCTTGAAGATTGTGTACAATTTGAATTTTACGAAAATAAGATACTAAAACATATTCAAATTTTGTATAATCCGATAAATAATCATGATTCATTTGTTTCAAAATATCATCAGTTAACGAACAAATAGTTTTAATAAGAATATCTATTCAATGAAATATCATAAGAACGATTAAATCAATATCATTTTTTAGATTCTTACTACTAGAAAACCAAATACAAGGATTGAGACCTAATGGAATTGCATGACATTCTAAGGAGGTAAATTCTTGTAGAAGATTTGTACTCATATATTTTTTTAAAGTATGCATGAGAGCAATATTTTCCAATAATGGTGAATTGATCAATTGAAGACGATTGAATAAATAATAGATAGATTTTTTGAAAAACTCTTCAATAAGTATATTTTCAATGTATTTTATTTCGTTTTTATCATTCAAATGAATATATGAATCAGAACACCATTTCGAATGAAAATATGTTTGATAAACACTATCCTCACTACAACAAACAATATGAATATAAACAATAAAAAATTGATTATCAAACTCACATAAGATCTATTAATAATGCCGATGAAAATTCTAATGCATGACTAGTAATCATAGTTCCTATTAATGAAAGTATTTTATTTTAATTACACAGATTTCTTACTCATAACAATCACATACCATTTTGTAAGAAATGTTTTGTTAAGTAATTGAATACTCTCCAATCAACTTCTGATAAATAAGTAATTATACGATTCATAATACGCTGTGAATTTGATAAGTAAAAAATCTTTTTCTTATCAAGATTATATTTTGTTCTGCTATCACTAATACTTCTTGATGTCTTGCTATTTTCGTTCACTATTGTATCACTATCTTCAGCAGTAATAATGCCTGAACTAATTGATGTATCATCATTATCGTTCTCTTCATTTATATATATATTTGATAGGAAATTTTCATCAATATTAGTACTAGATGAAGATTTTTGTGTGAGTTTAGATGGAACTAGACGTTGTCGAGCATCAATAATTGTCGAAGCAATTTCGTATGCAATATCTTTTCGTATATGAAGAAAGTTAATAAATGTATGAGCTAAATCCAATGTTAATCTATGAATAGATTGTAAATATTTTAATCAATAACTTTTATAATCATATACCTAAGTCGAGATGATTTCGATTGATACATTTCATAAACTTGTTTCATAGTAGAAGATAATGATCCATAAAGTGAACGTAAATAACGTTCTGTATCATAACTCATTTCACTATCTTCAATACTACTATCATCATTCATATCTTCTAAATCATGAGGAAATGAAATATATTTCTTTTTTTGTTTTTTGAAATAATTTCCATTATAATATGAATTTACCTTTGTCTTGAAAACCTTCATCTTGAAATTGTTGATATTCTGTTGATTCATCTTTATCATTCAATTTTGATATTTTTTCATCTAAGCCTATATTATGATCTCTAGTATTTAATAAATCTTGTCCTTCAATATTATCCTGTACTGATTCTAATGATATTGAATCAGTAATAATTTTGATGGTTGGAAGTGAATTATTGATTTTTAATTGTTCGTCTTCAAAAGATTTCAATAAATTGCTTTGCTTTAACTCATCGAATGCTAAATGATGATAATCTTAGATTTAAATCATCCATGTCTTTCAAACTTACATGATAAATCTTCGTTTGATTTTATGAAGAGATTATCATGATGACTTATGCTATTCTTAATTGTAGTAATATCATCATTACTATATATCTTTGTTGTTATATTCGAAGTTTCTGTTATAGTATTAACATTGATAGCATTTGGTAATTGAATATATTTTTGTTTTCGATTATGATTTTTCATGAGTGTCATTGTCTTTGATTTTTTATTTTGATATAATAAAAATAATTTATTGAAAAACAAATGTTTTGAATTCATATTATTAATATATATGTTGGATGTTGATTTATAAGGTTTATGTTTTTTTCTTTTTTGTTTATGTTTACCATATTCAACTGATGATCGAGACATTCTTTTCTTTTTTCGTTGTTGTTCATCTTGATTAGTTTGATGTAACTAAGCAAAATTTAAAAAAAAAATTAATTTTTTGAAATTAAATTTTCAATAATATACTTCTATAAAATATTGTTGTTTAGTATCTGCTGATGTATTAAAACTTTTCGTATTAATCGAAATAGTATTCAATGTTTTTATACTATTATTATCATTTTCATCATATAAAAATGGTTCATATAAATGAGATAATGAATTTTTCTCAATATTATTTTGTTCAGAATATGAAGTGGTTTGTTTTTGATCTTTAAATGTCATCAAAGGATGTATTTCACTTTCAAATGAAACTAAAGTATTATTATTTTCTTCAACATTTAAACGTGTTCGTTGTTGAATACGTGTTAATATTGTTAATGAATCAATGCTCATCGGTAATCGATCAAAACTTTTTGGTCCACCATCAATTTCTTCATGCAAGATAACATTACCATGATTACGTCTATTAATTAGAATAGAAAAAAAAAACAAACTATTAGACACAATATCTATGGGAATAAAATGTGAAACACAATATTTAGAAGATAATGAGAAAAAAAAAAATAAAAACTTTTTACTGTATATCTTTCATTTTAGATGATGAAGTATGAGTGTCCAATTGATTTATAAATATTTCCCGATGATGATTCAAAATATTCACTTCTTTGCCAATAGATTTTGTTTCTAATAAATTATTAAAAAACAATAGGACTTTCTTTTGATACCAAAAAAAAAAGAAAACAATTACCTTTCTTCATTGATGGACCAATTAAAAGAATTTTAGCTGTAGTTTCAGCTTTCTATAAAATAAAATAATTACTTAGGATATATCAAATAAAATTAGTAATTTTGACAGATAAAAGCTCACAAAAGTTGAGATTATCTCTATCAAAATCACAACTTAAGTAATTCAATGTAAAAAAAAGAAAAACTTCAAAACTGAAATCATACAAAACGTCGTTCAATTTGTAAACGTAATCGTATTTGTATATCATCTATTATCATTTGTATTTGTTTATCATCAATAGATTGTAATTCATTAGAATCAAGTTTATCTAATAAATCATCAAAACTATATTCAATTCCTATACGCATACATTCTTCACGTGAATATGTTGTTAATTGATGATTAGCATAAGCATATAACATTTTTTTAATACTATTTAATGTATCATATTCTATATCTAATGTTAATTGTAAATATGAATTATGATTTTCTTCTTTATGTATAAAAGAAAATCGTTTAGTAAATAATTCTTTAAGTTTATGTTCAACAGACTGTATAATTTTCTCTTCATTAATACCTTGTAAAAAATAAAGATTTTTTTCATATTCATTATCAAATAGTTTTGGTTCTTGTTCACGTGTAATTTCAAAAGTTAAATTTTCAATAATTTCGTCATTCGTAATTAAATGAACAATAACTCGACGTTTATCTTTATTCATTAAAGGTTCCAATTCAATTTGTATACGTCGTATTTGTTCAATAGAATAATCATTATTTATTTGCAAATATTCTCGAACATGATCAATAACAATTTGTTCTATTCTTGATTGCTAAAAATAAAAAAATAAAAATTTGTTTTATATTTGACATTCGAACTATTGAGTGCAACAACTATGTATTAGATCGATCTGCTATCTAGAGCCTTAGCTAATCCTAGATTCTTCTTCTATTTCTGAGAACGTGACATTCTCTCATCACTTGGGATCCCCGCTTGGATTCCTTTTAACAATGTCTATTTGATAATTTAGTTGAGATTTCTACGGATTCTATTTTACTATCAATTTCAGTTCCAATTCTGACAAATTATTTTCGCGTAGTTTTGTAAAAATGAATACATATATATACTGAATTTATTCCAATATCAAAATTTGTTGAATCATTAATTATATTTTTAAAATCATGCGATTGTACAAGTTTAATATTTGAATGATATGTAGAAGCCAATAAAAGAACAAGTTTTTTTTTATTTATACGAATAATATGACCTTCATAAATATCTCCAAATTCTGATGTTAATTCAAACATTTTAATTTCATGTTTAGATAATTCATTCTAAAAAAAAAAAAGAAAAAGTTAAGATTGAAAATTTCTTTCATAAAATTAGATAAAACTCTACTGGATGTAAAACAAAATGACCAATTATATCGATATCAAGTTGAATATTATTAGCAATTGTAATAAGATCTTTTAATGTATGTTCACGTAAATGTTGAGGTAACTTAAAAAAATAAAGAAAACAATGATAATAAAATTAAAAAAATTTTTTTTTACTAAATATTTTCGGTGATAAAATGTTTTAAATGTTGCTTCAGTTTTTGATCCTTGAAAACAAGCTGCTGGATAAAAATCAATATGAAGAGTATCTCGTGGACGACGTGATATTGATATAGGTTGATTAGGATATGAATTTTTATCTAATTCAAATAAATTATCTTTTTGTATATGATTTTTAATATATCGAATAAGTTCTTGTCGTTTTAAATATTGATCATTGAAAATTTGTTTTTTATGATTCAAATTTGACCATGAAAATTCTATTATTGATGATTCATCATTCTTTTTAATTTTATCATTTAAAAAATGATTATCTTCAATTGATTCTTTCCAAGTAGCATGTTCTAATCCATTATGTTCAAAATCAACAAATATATGAAATCCTTTTTCATTGAATTGTTTTTCTGATGTAGGTTTATAGATTAATGTTGTATAATTACATGCATTCAAACATAAATTTTCATTATGTAATTTTTTCGATTCTTTAACTTTAATTGTCTTTTTTATATGAATAGATTTATAATCAAGGTTTTTCCAATATATAGGTGGATAAATTTTTTCCAATTTAGCATCTAAATATAAACAATTAATAATTTATTAAATGCTATAGAAAGAAAACAAGAGTAATTATACTTGGCTGCCAAAATTTCCATATAGCATCACGTCGATGACGAGGTAAACAAAGTTTTTCAATGCGAGGATTCATTTGAATGTTTAATGATAATTCAGCGCCAAGTTTACATCGAATTTAATTTTTAACAATCATAGTCATTCGAAATATTCATATTTTATTCATACGATTCAATAGATAGTGAAATCTCTCTCTTGTGAACATTGTCAATACCATTTAAAAGTATTCAATATATGAAGATCTTCAGTATAGAGAGTTGAAACTTTAAAAAATTAAGGCAGCGCGTAAGAGTTCAAGTCTAACAGTTATTAACAAAACAACACATTTTTTTAGAGAAGTGCCTTCTAGTAGAGATTTTAGTGTATAGTCGTATGTTACCATGACGAGATCGTCATTGTCCGATTCTCAGGAACTGAGTTTTATCGATTGTCTTATATTTTATTATTCGAATAATAATTTCAGTATAGCAAAGATACTTCCAAATGACAAAAGCCACAATTCATTATAATAATGTATAGAATAATTTTAATCTTGAGATTAAATCAAAAACAAATGAGAGAAATCAATAAAAATATGCAATATCTCGAAATAAAGCTTTATTGTTTCGGAATATTTTATAATCGGAGACTTTAGACCTATTACGAATATTTTCAACCTAGTCACTTTTAACATTATTTGTAAACAACATAAACCTGACGATCATTATATGTATCAAAATCATTATGTAATCAATAAATCATTAACAACAATTTGAAATAAAATCTATAATAAGAAGGTATTCTTTTTCGAATAACTGTCGATCTTACTAATTTCACATCTACGCAATCAGTTACCCACATCCACACCCTTTACGTTACCACGTTCTATACATGTTGGTGACGTTCAATGCGATGTTCATTATGCAACATGTATGACGCTGGAGTACACAGACTTATCTGAAATCAGAAACTATTTCTATTTAAAAAAAAACATCGACAATGAAAATACATTTAAATTTTTCAATCAATCTTTCTTCATATAAAAAATCTTGAATAGAGACGTTACCAGACAAAAATTTACTATTGTTATGAGAAAAAAAAATTACAAAATTTTTTTCGAATTCGATATCAGGTAATTTTGAATGTCTCATCCAACGCAGAGCTTCTACACAAATATCTACTTTCTACTAGTTAGAGTAATGAAAAAAAGAAGTCTTCTCTTTTGATAATTTCTTTCTAAAACATTTTTTATTTATTAATTCCATCGGATATATAATAAATAAATAAAATATCGTGCTACCAAGAAAGATTTAATATTGTACACTTCATACTCTTCATTAATTATTCATTTGGTCTGTGATATACATGTAGCATCATTGAGATTGATCATAGAAACAGAATAAATCAGTTTTTTGTATATAATGCTATGAATATTTTATTCTCATTTTTTTAGAGAAGGGTGTGAGTGTAAATAAAATAGACACTGCAACCTGAGCTCCAAAGACCACAGCTACACCCATCCACAAACTCATACCCACTTCTACTCACACCCTCATTGATTCAGTGGCGTACGCAGGGGGGGCCGAGGGGGCCCGGGCTCCCCCCTTGAGACGAAAAAGTCCTGGAGGGGAGTACAGGAAAAAATATTTTCACGTGATAAAAAATTTTTTGTGCCATGGCCGGTCCCCCCCCTACGAAGTTGGGCCCCCCCTTGAAAAATTTCTGCGTACGCCACTGCATTGATTATTAAAATTTGTTCTCTCCTTTCCTTAATAGGATGATGATCAAACGTAACTAACTATGTACTCACTGTTGGCAAAATATGATTAAGAGTGACTTGTTGATTGAGAAGTAACAGGTGAAGATGTCTCTCACAAAGGCTGCAAAAACATGATTGAAAATAAAACGAAGAAATATAAAATTGCAACGAAGAATGTTTTTAATTGATCATGAAAATAAAAAAAAATCTTAAGTCCAGTTCTATACTCTTTCGTTTTATATTTAATTCCAACTATAGTATCATCTAACTGCGGTGCAGAGCATCATTAATGAATCGAACTGATAAGTTCAAATTGATTCGCAACATTTCAGTACGACGATTATCAGAAAATCGATCTGGTATTACTTTGGTTTGGCTTGAAAATGCATTGTCTTCGTCATGTGATCACAATCAGATTCGATTACACAGGGTGTGGGTGCACTTCTCTTTTTCGACAACACCCACACCCCAAAAGATTTCGACGAGGATTTCAGAACTATTTTTTCTTGCCCAGAACCCTTTTTCAGGGATTCTGCTATCGGTTAAAACACAGAACCTTTTAGTGGCCTAAAAGGTTCTGCAAACCTCCTTTATTTTTTTCAGAGTAGATGGTCGTGCTGAAATTGGTTTAATATTCAATAATATTCGTTCTATATTATAATTCTAATAAAAAATACAATCAAATGAAATATAATTAATATTTATGTGTAATTTTGAATGTTAACAAAATCAATATTGTTATCAGTGTTCGAAGAAGAGATAGCTTGTTGATATGCTTCTTTAAATCCATATTGACTTTTTTCAATCATATTTTCATTTGCAGTCAAACATACACGAAAATATCCAGGTATACCACATACTGAACCCGGTAAACATAAAATATTATATTTCAATAATAGTTCACAAAATGTTTGATCATTTTCTAAAGGTGATTTAACAAGTATATAAAATGTTCCTTGTGGTTTTACAGGTATTTTATAGCCTATTGATAATAATATATCTAATATCATATTTAATTTCTTTTCCATATGTTGTACATCAATACTAATAGATAGTGTTTCAATATCTTGTATCATATATTGTGTTACACAATCAGGTACGGTATATCCATTGATTGTTAATGTTCGAGGTAAATATTTACGAAATAATAAACGATAATCTAAAGACATTTGATTTGATAATGCGACATATCCCAATCGAGTACCCGGATTTAATAATGTTTTAGCATAAGTATAACATATAAATGTATATGGATATACTGTAGCAGGAGAAATAAATTCATTATTATGAAATAGTATATGATTATATGCTTCATCAGATATTAACCATATAGGTTGAGCATCAGAACCATATTTTTGTTGACGTTTATGATATTCATCCAATAATATGTTTGATAATAACTGTAATGTAGTTAATGAATATATTTTACCTGTTGGATTATGAGGTGAATTAATGATAAGTACTTTTGTTTTATTATTTATTTTATTTTTTATATGATCAATATTTAAATCATAGGTATTCATATTTATATTAACTTCAATAGATATAGCTTGACATGCTATTATCATTGGTTCATAACAAAACCATGATGGAATAGGAACTATGACTTCATCGTCTTTATTTAACAACATAGATAAACATGTATAAATTCCACCAAAATTTCCTGTTACTAAATAAATATCTTCATATTCAAATGATAATGGTGATCATTTTTTCGATAAATTTAATGCAATAATTTTACGAGAAGGTTGTATATTAGTATTCGTTATAGTACAATAACCATACCATTCAGGATTTAATGGTTCTACATATTTGTGATATGATGATATCAATGCAGGTAATGCCATATCACGTGGATTACCAAATGTAAAATCACATAGATCAGATGATGATGATGACGATATTGCTGTTTTATGTGCAGATATAGCTTTTGCATATACATTACTAACAAATAATGAAACTCTTTGATAATGTGGTGAATTTATTGCCGATAATATTCGATGTGAGAATATTGATGATGGTATCATTTTGTTAATTTGGTCATTATTTGCGATATTACTAGAGGTCATTCTTGATGCAGTATCTGTAGAAACAACAAAAGGACATCGTGGTGATTATTTAGTCAAATTAAATGCTATATTTATGATCAACACTAAAAAGACGAAGCCAAATAATGTGTTAGATAGAGTTAGTTGATAGATCAACAGTTGTCATTTCAGTGAGTTCTAAGAACCTTTTCTTCTATCTAATCAACTTAAAAAAATTGTCAGACTACTCTAAATATTATAATCATAAATTTGTAATGAATCATAGTCTGTTTTAGTATGAAGAGATGTTTCATCAGTGTATCACATAAATCTGTAATCTGATAAGATTTATTCTTGTCTAGAAAACTATCTTCTTCAGTTTTCCATAGGAAATTACTTCTCAATATCAAGTTTTCATTCTTGAGTTAGATTTTCTTACAATATATGATTGATGTTGCTTAGTGTTCGAACTATAATTCAAAAATGATTTAATCAAGAGTTATAAATGATCGTCCATGTACAACTGAACAAAGTGATATATCAAAGTCATCATTGTCAAAATCAAATTTGATGACCCGACATTGAAATGATTCGAGTAAATCGATCATAAATATATAGGAATATAATAGTCATTTATACATTTTCTTATTTATACAGATGATAATTATCAACAACATAAACAAAAAAAATTATTTGAGTTATAGGTAGATACTTTACAAAGATTCTTCTCTCTCGGTATTGAAGAACCATGGAGTAAGTCAGGCATAAGAGTGGCACTTTATCTTTTCTTTAACGAGTAAAGTAAATTAGACTTACTTTACCCGAAAAGTAAAGTAAGATAAAGTAAAGTGAAGTGAAGTATCTCTTACTTTACAGAAAAAGTTAGATGAAGTATTATAAGATAAAGTAAAGCATGTAGTTGATGATTATTGGTTTATTAGTTCATTATCACACATTAAGCACATTCTAATACGTCAAAAGTTGCATCAAAATACGGACCGACAGCCCCAAATAATCTGAACCTATTTTTAAATATCTTGAGAATCAGCATTGAGCCTCACTATTTTTCAAAATTTTATTTTCTACTTTATCACAACCCAACTTTTCACACCTAGGGTTCCCTTCAGGTGTCGAAAAAAAAACTTTTATCACTGTCCTATTACAAATCTTTATAATGCAATAGTATCAAGTGAGCTGATTACAAATATCTCATTTGTTTTCAAAAGTACTTAGGTAATAAGAAAGATAGAAAGAATCTTCTGAACGTCTTAAAAACTAGCTTTTGACCAGAAATTTCATTAAAATACGGTC